GTTGATCGCGTTCAGTGTACTCATTCACTAATGAGCACCCACATACTTGTATTAGTGTCAACTACACAAATGGTTTGAGACTAACCATCCTCCCAATTGAGCATACATAATATGCGCTAATCTTGACGGTTTATCAATGCCCATTTGATAACCTATGATTAGGAACATTTTGGGATGCTACAGTTAGAGATTACAGGTCTCATGAATCTAATCTTCTTTAGATTACTTTATCTCTTATTTAGCATACCCTGGACATTTGTTTCTTTAGACGATATAAAAAATAACAAATAAGTTTGCCCTTTATGTATCATATACGAAATGTATTCTAAGGAGATTACATCAAATATATTGGCTCTTAGGGCACATTTCTAACACTAAACACATATTTCGCTCCTGCCCTTGTGCTCGCAGTTCAACAGGCGTCCATCTCTTAGGATTTAACATTTGATAATCCTAAATTGAAGCACTTCAATTTAAAACTCTGGCGAACCAATTATATATCTGTACTCTCTTGACTAGACTCGAAATTGATCAAATGAGTAAACTAGAGCACTGGGGAAATACTCTTTGTTTTTCAACGAGTTAGAACTTATCTTCAAGGAGGGAACTGTTGGGTTTATATTAAACCCAAACATCATTCTTGAAACAAACCATCGTAGTTGTTTCCAACAGAGGCAACTTCTTATCATAATTAAGGGTAAATTTCACTTTACAATTCGAAAGTTTCCCGAAATTCAGACTTTACTACATCATTTTTCATATTAACTTCATACAAAAAGTTTCACTTTTCTATTATTTCCATACATCCATCAGTCATTCCGTCAAATGCTCTGTTAAATATGATGACGTGGCAATCAATGGTCACACATGAATTGAAAAATAAAAAATAAGAAAGGAAAAACAAAAAAGAAACAAAAAACTCTCTCTCTCTCTCTCTCCAGCACTAGGAATTTCCTGCTCCCAAGCCACAGGCCACAATCCACCATCTCCATGTCGAAATCTCCCTCAGCCCCTTCCCCTTTTTGGACCTGCAATAGCCCCACCCAGTGGCGGAGGGAGGTAAGGCCCAGGGTGGGCATGTGCCCCCTCTCAAATTTTATTTTAGGCTATTGTATTATTAATATAATCATATTTTTCTAACCAAATTTTGAATTGCCCATGTATTTTTCTAATTTTCCTTTTCTCACTATCATTGCTACCCTTTCACATATCTTATTGTCGTACTTCGATTTGTAGTGATAAATTACCGTTCAAATTTTCTTAGAGTGTATTTTTAATAAATTACATTTTATTTGATTTTTTCCTAGGATCGATGTTGAGTAGATAGTTAATATAATATGTAAAATAATGGAGTACAAAAATTAGGGATTTTGTATCAAGTAAAAAAATTAGTTTAATTGTCACCCTAAAGAAAAATATATTTCAATATATGAGGTGCTCCTCTGGAAAAATTTTCTGGCTCCGCCACTGGCTCCACCCCACCCATCCTCCGCACCATTGCGTAGACCCCCCTAAAAAAATTTCGCAGCACGCCCATACCTCCCCCAAAAAAAAAATCCCACGACCACCTCAAGCGCAAAATCAAACCTGACCCAAATTTGTTAAACCTCTTTCTAATAGTATGGTCTGGTGTGCTGGTTTGGGAATCTTCCCTTAAAATATGGTGATTTCATTTTGAGATGAGACATTAGTCTGAAGGTATGAATTTGTTGGGTTATCTCAGCAATTGAAGTTCATATTTTTAATTTGTTAAACCTCTTTCTGAGCAGCTGGGTTTGTTTAGTTTAATCATTTTGTGTTTGACTGGGTTTCATGAATTGAAAAGGAGAAACTAAGTTTGATGAGTAAAAGAAAGAAACACAAGAACTTTTCTCTGGGTTTTAAAATTAAATAATACAAATATGTCTTTTTTCGGGATAGAAGGGGGAGAGCGAATACCAAACGGTGGCTTGTTCAAATGACAAGCAACAGTTGCAATGGCTTCCGCATCGGCCATGACGCATGCTGCACCTCTGTGGATGCATGATCTGGCGCCGGCACGTTTGAATTGTTTATGATTGGCCAGCTCATTTGAAGTTTTCACTTCAGCTCATTTGAAGTTTTCACTTTCTGCAGATATAAATATACGAACCAAACTGAAACAACCACAGATAGCAAATGGCAGGAGGAGTGAGGAGGATCAAGTTGGGTTCACAAGGCCTTGAGGTTTCTGCTCAAGGCCTGGGATGTATGGGCATGTCTGCCTTCTATGGCGCTCCGAAACCCGACGCAGACATGATCAGTCTCATCCACCATGCCATTGACTCCGGCGTCACCTTCCTCGACACCTCTGACATCTACGGCCCCTTCACCAACGAAATTCTGCTTGGCAAGGTACGCCACTAACCTTGACTTTGCTTCTTAATATTTGCTCTTAATTTGTATCAATTGCTTTTTGGGTTTGTTTGGGATGTCAAATGGGATGAGTTGATGATGAACTGAATTGGGTTTGGTTTGGTTCAGTCTTGTTCCAGTATTTAAGTTGCTAAATCAAGCACAAGCACTGAGAGAGACAATAATTTGTACAATTGCTTTGTGGGTTTTGTTTGTATTGTTGAATGGGATGAATTAGTGATGAAGTGAATTGGGTTGTGTTCACTCTGGTTCCTGTATTTAAGTTACTAAGCCAGCCAAGCACAAGCATTGAGAGAGACAATGATAAATGTAATTGCTTTTTTGGGTTTTGTTTAGATTTTTCAATTAATTGTGATTGATGATGATGAAGTGAACTAGATTTTGTTGGATTGATGAGGAACAGGCTCTGAAGGGAGGGGTAAGAGAGAAGGTTGAATTGGCCACCAAGTTTGGCATCTACTTCGCAGACAAGAAGATTGAGGTGCGAGGTGACCCTGCCTATGTGAGGGCTGCTGCCGAGGACAGCTTGAAGCGCCTTGGTGTTGACTCTGTTGATCTCTATTATCAGCATCGGATTGACACCACTGTCCCCATAGAAGTCACGGTTTGTCTTCTTCCCTCTTTGAGATTTGATCTCCTTTAATAGCAATTACAGAGCAATATGCATCTGCAGGCCTAGTAAAGTCATATTTATTCAAAGATTTTACAACATCTTGTATCATTTTTAGTCACATGTTTTATCAATTCCTCAATTTGATTTAATTTGTGGTTTACCTTGTAGAAGTCATGGTTTGACCTCATTTCTCATATAACAGGAACCCCTTGTTTGTGATGGCAAATTAGTTGTAATTTTTGAAAGTTTAGTTCATATCTCAATGTGATTGCATCCTTTTTTTGGGACTTGCTCTAGAGTATCATAAAATGCAGTATTGATTATCTTGATTAACTTATTTTTAGCGTTTTCTTTTGATTCCTTAAATTCCCTTCATTATGTCTTTTGCAAGGTAGGGGAATTGAAGAAACTAGTTGAAGAGGGTAAGGTGAAGTACATTGGCCTATCTGAGGCCTCAGCTTCTACAATAAGAAGAGCACATGCTGTTCATCCAATAACAGCTGTGCAGTTGGAGTGGTCCTTGTGGTCGAGAGATGTCGAGGCAGAAATAGTTCCTACTTGCCGGTGAGGCTTTATTGAACTGATATAACTATTTTATTTGTAAATAACAAATAGGTACCAAATTCGTTATAATTTATCTCACTTGCCTAAATTTCTCAGGGAACTTGGCATTGGTATTGTTGCATACAGTCCTCTAGGGAGAGGATTCTTTTCATCAGGCGCTAAGTTCGTCGAAAACCTCTCCCATGATGATTCTCGAAAGGTTTGTTGGTATTTGACAAATATTGTCGATTTTAAATTTCCAAACTGCCGTATAAAATTTTCTTGGTATCATCATGATGCTATTATTGTGTATTTCCTGAACTTCCATCTCCCCTGCAAGATCTCAAGTTGATAATTCATCTCGCAGAGCTTAGTAGTCTCTCCTAGTGTCCTCTTACTGAGTTTTTCAGTAGTCTTCTCTCCATCAAAAACTTGGCTAGAGCACAAAATTTCTTTCTATAACATTAGTACCTAAGTAGCTGTCATTCTTCCAGACAGTCAGAGCCCACTAACGTTCTAATTTGCTTCAATATTCTTTATTTTATAATGTTTTGTGGTGGCAAGGAAAATTTCTCAGAGTTCCACACTCCCATTTTTCATTTAGGCCTGTCGTTTTCTCTAATGCTTCACTATAATTTGAAGAAATAAATTGGCAAGAAAGGTTGCCCATGAGATTCTCCTGATCCTGGAAAGTTAACTGTAGTTTTCTGGTTATGCTTATTTCTGTCCATTGGATTGTTGTACATCTTTATCATGTCATTTTGATCAAGCAAACTTAGTCTTGATTCTGAATTGTTTAGTTCAATGGTTGCAGCATCTACCCAGGTTCCAACCCGAAAACGTAGAGCATAATAAAACACTATTCAAGCAGGTTAGTGATCTTGCTGCAAGGAAAGGGTGCACCCCATCTCAGCTAGCACTGGCCTGGGTTCATCATCAAGGAAACGATGTATGTCCGATACCCGGAACCACAAAGATTGAGAATTTTAACCAGAACATTGGTGCTCTCTCTGTGAAACTGACACCAGAAGAACTGTCTGAGCTTGAATCTTTTGCTTCTGCTGATGCCGTTAAAGGTGACAGATATCAGAATGACGTTAGTACTTGGAAGAATTCTGAAACTCCTCCAGTGTCTTCATGGAAAGCCACATGAGCATGTGACTTTTGTCATGTCATAATGCTTCTTTGTACCTCATGAGCTTTGTGAACTTCCTTACCGTTATGAGAATAAGTAGTGCATGTGAAGTGGTATGTAATGACTGACTTTGAGACGTTCGTCATTTTGTACGCAGATTTCATCATGTTGTATGAGTCCAAAAGTATGAAAAAATCTGGGGTCAAGCGAAGTTTTTCATTTTATTTCTTTGACTTAATTTTCTTCGTCACTAGCATTTTTTTAAGAGATCACAACAAAGAATGACATTGCTTTCCAAGAAACCAAAACTAGGGTTTTGTTTTCTAATTTTCATGTGGGTTGAAACATGCATTTAGTGTCTATATTGTATAGTTCTTTTACGAATAATTGGGGAATATAATGTTTTCTAGTCAAACATTTCAATCAGTTAGCAAGCTTTTAAGAGAATACATCCATTATGTATTACATGGTGAAAACTGAGCCTTATTTTGTTAATCAAATTGTCATATGTCATACATCTAAAAAGAGAAACGAATCAAATTTTCATATGTCATACATCTAAAAAGAGAAACGAAACCGAAAAAATTGGAAAGCAAAGTAAACTCTTTGCGATCGCCTTATCATCACCCAATTTAGTGCCAAGCACTATATTTAAAGACATTTCATATTTATTACGTACTTTTTTCCTAGTTTCTGACATACTTTCAAGAAGTTAATATGATAGCTGATACTTAGGCAAAAAAAGGATATATCTCTCGAAATACTTGTATTGGGTTTAGCAATTATCCTTTTTTTGGGTCGATCAGCAAAAAAAAAATTGAGTCCTTTTTTGGGTTTAGCAATTTTCCTTTGGATGTTGTACTGAAGTTAAAATTTGAGGGCGTTTTGATAACCATTTCAATTTTAGTTTTTTGTTTTCATTTTTTGTGCTAGAGTATAGAGGAAAAAAATGGAGAATGGAAGTAAGAATGAGAGTGGAGATGGGATTGAGAGGGAAGATGAGAGGAGATGATGGGAGGGAGGAGTAACAAAAGTAGAAACAAAAATTAAAAACTGAAATCTATTTGAAATTGTTTTCACTTTTGTTACTCCTCGCTCTCATCTTCTCTCTTAGTCTCATCTTCACTCTCATTTTCCTCTATACTCTAGCACAAAAAGTGAAAACTAAAAACTAAAATTGAAATAGTTATCAAATGGGTCCTAAGATTATGAATTTTTTGCTGTTGAAAATATTATGATTCTTTTACCTAATACAACCCATTATTCACACTCGTTAATAATTAATTACCTAAACCCAAGTAAAGAAAGTTGGGTCCTAATATTATGATTCTTTTACCTAATACAACCCAGTATGATTCTTTTACCTAAAATATTATGATTCTTTTACCTAAACCCTAAACCAAGGAATCCAAATTGGGCTTGAAAAAAAATTGGACTCGACTGGTTTTTTAATTAAAAGAAGACCAAAAAGAGACAGACCCACGTGACCCTCTGTTCTAAGAGAAGTCAACAATTTCAACTGAAATTAATAAAGGATGAACAGGGGCATGTATAAAGAAGAACGTCTCTGAAAAAACTCTGCTACCAGGAGATCAAATTCCATTTTGTTTATTCAAGGATATTCTTCTGCTCCAAAGAAGGCACCATTTTCAAGGGATAAGCAGACTCTGTTTCTATGAAAAGGGAATAAGCGGGAAACAGGGAGTTGTTAAAAAACTGAGAACTTACCATCACAAGCTTCAGACTCTTGCAAAAGCAGTTGAATTGGAAGAAGGGTATGGCACCCCATCAAAATACAGGGAAATGATCACTTCAGGAACTGATTGTT